TGTAAAATTAATAATTATTATTATAATAACGTAAAAAAAGATAACAATTAAAAACACTTTCGTTGAACAAACATGAAATCGTTTTCCATCTCGACATCCGACACCGTTGTAAATTACCTGACCCATCGCCCCAAGTCCCCCCAAAAACGCCTAAAGTCCCATTCCCATCGGCTCATTCGAAAGGTTAAGGCCACGTTCGCGGAAGCTTCAAACAATCCACCCTTTCAAGCCATCCCCGAGCAGCCCCCTCGAACTGCGGAATCGGCCGACCGTCAATACCATCCAGGTTATTTAAAGCCATTGTTCCTAATTTCGAAAAGTCTCTCGCCTTCCTGCGTCTCGCAGGTATGACGACAACAACAAGGCCTGCTCGTGTCCCGTTCGAATTCCATGACCGGCGGGGCGCGATTGGACGGCGGTCTCGGCGCCGTCCAATCGCGTCCGGCCGGCCGGTGACGTCACCTCGCGTCCATAAAATAGGGGCGCGTGCCATCCTCCGGCTCAGACCCGAGTCGGCAGTGCGATGAACAGCACGAGGTAGTCGCCAGAGTGAGTTCTGCTCGCGCTGCCTTCGGTAGTGAGAGAAGCCGGGTAGTGTTGCTAACGGCAGAGCAATCGAAATACGCTCTGCTGACAGCTCAGTGGTGTCTCCCACACCAGGGATTCGTTTAGCAGCTAGAAGTTCACAAAGCTAGTCAGTGGTGGCAACTTGCGAGAAGCGAAGGAAATATTCGTCAGTGGTTCTCGCGATGAAATTTAATGTGAGAGAGCGAGACAGCTAGAAAGCAAGAGAGGGAGAGAGGGAGAGAGAAAGAGAGAGAGAGAGAGAACAAAGACTGTTCCCAGTGTTTTTGTTTTTGTGTGCAACTCTCTGCCCGGAGAGTTTTCAATCGCGAAGCTGAGCGCGTTTCGTGTGAAGCTCTCGAAGCTGTACCTGAGATACAAAAGAAAGATGGTTGGGAGCAACGGGACGATGATCGCGATTCGCCTTGTCCGCAGCAAGCTGCGGAAAAGGGAGGATCACTCGAATGCCGTACACCCGGAGCCAACCGTCGTGCAGACGGCGACGTCGCCGATCTCGACGATCGTCGCGTCCTCGTACTCCGTCGAGGGATGCTGCACGCAGATGTCGACTACAACGACGTCCACGGACCTGGGCACTCCGGGTATCGAACAGGACAACGTGTACGCGGCGAACGGCACCGCGGAACAATTCGCATGGCAGTTTCCGCCGCCTTATCCACCGCCTCACTCACCGGCGCAGTATGCGTTGTGCAACGGCCAGGTTGGTACACCTTTCTTCTTTCTCCCTCTTTTTCCTGGTTCTTGTTTTTCTTTTGTCTTTGTTTCTTTTTTTTCTTTTTTTTTGTTCGAAAAACCCGCCGTTTGCCGGGGAGCAACAGCGCACATGACGTTTGGCACGCTTCCGGGGTTGTCAGCCGAATTCCTCACATAAAAACAGGTCGAAAATATGCCGTTCGTTCCGGAGCGAATCTGTTTCGAAAACCGCTGAACGGTCGTTTTGGGTGCATCGCAGTGTTCCGTGGTTCCCTGTGATAAGTTATGGTGAACCGTCGGGCGGTTATCTAGGCAAAAGTAGGTGGGAAACGCGCGGCACTGTTCTTCGTATACGGTTTCGAAATTCGTAACGGTCGTTCGTGTTTTCATAAGGTACGATAAGGGGAGGTGTAACGAACGCGTAACGAAAAACCGAACGAAGATGATTTTTCAAAATTCTTGGAACACTTTTCTGCCCGTTTTTGCACGCGAAATTATTCGCTCTTTTAATCTTTCTAATTTACAAGTTGCTTTGTGCCACGGCGTTAAATCGTGCGCCGAATATCACCCCGATATTCCGAACCGTAGGTCTCTGTGAATCTAAAATAACCGTCCCATATGCAATTTGAGATCTAGTTCAAGCGAAACGTTCTTGGTAATAACCGCTAGTTTTCATTGATGCGCTCGCGTTAGTTACGAAACAAATGTTTGTTAAGTAAACAGCACTTCAGCTCGTCTTTCTTGGTCGATTAATTCCGAGACGGATTCCTCCGTGGAACTTGATTGAAAAGTTCGTATACGTTGAACAATATTGAGAACCGTTTGCGCCACAAGGTGGTACGTGTTTAACCGTGTTAGGTTTTTTGAATCGGTATTCCTGTAGATTCAGTTACGGTGTGTCCTCTTTTATTCCTTTTCTTTTCTCTATAATCTCGAAACCTTGTCCCTCTCTCCTTTCTGCTCCTTCGTTCCAGCTGCGTCGGCCGGTGGAGCCAGTAATACCAGATTTCACTGGTTTATCCCCGTCTCGGCAGGATAACTCGAGAGGATCCTAACCACCATTTATATTTCGCTCTCGACCAGCCTAATTTTCGTCTCTCATTGTAGTAGAAAGTCCGCTTGGGCATGAAACATACCGATGTCCCCGGCTTTACATCATAATACAACGGTCGTTAGGACACTGAACCGTCGGCTAGTGGGCGAGGGGGTGGGGGGAGCTTATTGACAAGTAGGAAGAAGCGCGCGGACTTTTTGAATTTTTCTTGAGCACGCAAATACAATACGCTGCCACATCTCGTTTCGAATAATTCAATAAGCCTCGATGCTTGTTTACGACAACGTTATAAACAGGTTGTTTATACAAATCGACCAAACTCAATTCAATTGAAATTGGAACAATGTTGATTCTATGATTAGAAATTTAGCGAACGGCTGAAAACAATAAATAAACGAAAATGTAACAAATTTAACTCTCGGATGGCGGACGCCGGGTCAATTCGGACCCGGAGTTGCAGACGTTCCATCTAAATTTGCAACAGTCGTATGTATGTAATTATGAACTATTAATATTGAGAGTAATAAAAGGATTAGCTACGGACTCGACAAAAAGAGGTTCTAGTAGTATAGAAATGAAAATTAATCGTAAAGAGTTGAACGAATCTAGCAGTGGCGCTGCCATAAATGCTCGAAAATGTCCGCCGTCCAAAGGTTAATACGAAGAGGTTGATGGTTTTGTCACGAAGGCAGTGTCCTTTCCAACGTATGTTGGCAGTGGCTTGTTCAACGTACTATGTATTTCGGAACTAATCGATTTTCGCATGCTGCTTTATTTACCGAGTTATGACAACACATTAATGTATTACGTCGCTTGCCCTTACCGATCAAAATCGATACATTAGCAATACAAACAGTTCACTTCTCTGTTCCGGATACTTATAAAATTAATATCGTCGTACTAAAATGCATTCTGTTCAATAATCAAATCAAACATCGTGCTAGCATAATTATAAAAGAAATTTACCAGTCGGGTGTGAACGGATCGAAAATTAAAAAATTCACGCACGTATCAGAATAAAATCTGATCAACCGAGTAAACAAAAAGGATCGTAATTTATGGTAAACAATGAGCATGAATTCTAACATTATAGACAAGGACGACGTGTTCGATTTCAAAATCCGTATCTCGCGCGTTGTGCAACCAAAACAATCATACAATAGTGTTCTCACGGACAATCCGTTATACCAGGCTTTCTACCATTGACGAAACGTTATCAATTTAATCGTCGATCGATAGTATTCACTTCCTTCCAGTTATTGTGCAAATTGAACAATTTATTTCCGTTAGTCGAGAGTGCGCGCGATTGTAAAATCTTGTGCAACAGGTTATGTACGCGAGCGTGCGCGCGATCGTGCGCTACTCGAACGCGCGGAGCACCAGAAATCAGGATACATTCGCGGCGACAAGACGATAAGACCTTTTAAAATTGTAGTTAATAATAGTCGATGGCGCTATCGATCCTCCAAGGACGAGGCTTACGGGCAGACGGCCTGGCAAACGAGTTGTAAGGTCGAGGCTCGGCTCAGTCCCAGGCTCGCCGCCAGAAAAATCCCAAACAATCGGCGACGTTGCCGCGCTTCCCACCCCGCTTTGTTGCCGTTATGACGGCGTTTCAGTTTCATGCTCCACTTACCGACAGATCTTTTGCTACTTTCCCATAAGCGATCGTTGGTTTTGAATGTTATTCAAATCTCGCCGGTTTCGGATTACAACGACGCGTCTCTACAGAAATAGATGCACACACGCGCGCACGCATACACATACGTGCGCGCGCGCACACACACACGACTGCGGGGACCTTATTCTACTTTCCATTTTTCTAAGTCGTTTTTTTTTATCGAAATCGGCGCGGGAAAAAGTTTCTTCGGTTAATGGGAACGTTTCTTCGATTAAATGAAAATCATGTTTCGGTGCGACGCAATGAGAGTCAGATGTTCGAACAGACTGGAACGTTCAAAATTGATTCGAACGGCCGTTAAATGTTCAACGATCGATAAAAGGCCCGGCGTTTCTATATTTAGCGGCACGATGCATTCGAATTTCCGCAGTGCTGTTATGGGCTGTATTATCCCGCATTACGAGACTCGGCCGGGGACTATCGATTATCTAAATCACCGAGGTGTCATAAGATTCCATGCTGGCGTGATGTAAGATACGCGTGACGTTGCCGGCACACTTCGTTAAAAATGAGCAATACCGGAAGATTGATAAGATTGGATTTTTACGTTTGGTTGTGTGACGTATCGATATTCGTACGTGACGGCAGTCGACTCACGAGGGGATTCGTAACCTTGTTAATTATTATAAATTCAAATTGTTTTGGAACTTTTAACTTTTAACCTTAGCTCTTGTGTTGGTCTCCATGTAATAACTCCAGAAGATCGAAGTTTCTTCGTTTTGCATTTGTAGTTTTCAATAGCATCGGTTAAATGTTAAATAACATTTTGTGCTGGAGCAGCATAAATACGAATTTATAACTTTGACAAAAGTTATAAACGCTTTAGAACGCTTTCAAATATTTTCTAATTTATAGAGAAAATGAAGTGTACCACGTGATCGAATGTACCTTTGACCAACAGATGACAGTGGTTCTATATCGTTAGAGCGATAATCATGTTTGCGTTGAGAACCACCTGGCGTTACGCGGCTTGCCAAACTATTTCGCGTGTATTTTGAAAACTGAACGTGATCTGCAACTTCTACCGACGCTTTCCCAAGGCCGAAGACACATTCTATCGCCCACAGTAATTATACTTCCTCCGTCATTTTTATTTTTCAAAATAAATTAAGATATAATCTGCGAGAATTGTCTTAGTTCGGTCGTTTCTGCTTTTATGATCTTTTTAAATCATGTTTTCATACCTAAAATGTAACTTTGAACTGCGTTATTTTGTTCATAAGAGTTCGTAGAATAATACCACGTGGATGATAGTTAAATGACTGTTACAGTTACAGCGCGAAACTTGTCAACACTTTTAATAACGGACGTTCTGAAAAATAATTTAATTTTCGCGAGAACAGCCGCGTTAATTTGTGTAAAAAAGTGTACAGATTCGGATAATATTTATTCCGTAGTGTGACACAGTTGTTTCTGGGATTACCCATCTGTGTGTTTGCAGTATACTAACTTCTTTCCACGTAAGTGTTCATTGTCAGTCGTTTACCGGACACAGCTAATACGCGGAAAACGGCTCAATAACTTGAACTCGTTTGTTCGGCCGACGTAACCGTTAACGTCATTCATTACAGCTGTTAATTCGACGTTCAGCGTACACATAGTTCGACTTCCCGCAAAGCTTAGTGAGATCACAGTCATAGTCGTCATGTTCCTTCAGAATCTTTCCTCGTACAGCATCCCGTTTACGGTGATTCTTTGATAAGTTTGAAAACTAATTTTTAAATGAAACTAGGAAACCATTTATTTCGTTTGTTCTTGTGCACAATTTTTTGTTTTTATCTTTGTTAAATTAAATTAGCTTTCTTTAACTTTAAATTCATGACTAAAAGTACATATTATCGAAATCAAATAAAAAATTTGTAAACATTTATTGAGGAATTCTTTTATTATCGTTTAATATTGTCGGCTGCTTTGTTAGTAAATTCTGAAATTGTTGTTTGCGATAACATTCCTCCAACCGCAAAACACACCGGATACTGCCGACCATAAAAAATATGAAGCCGCATGTCTAAAGGTTACTTGTTGGGCAAATCCAGCAATATTGTGTTACAAACCATAATTCAATATTTACTGTTAGTTTACCGTATTACACGGCTGCGTACAATGTTGTTATGGTATCGCGTTCGCCGCGAAAATAAAATTTACGCTTTTGCAAACAATTTCATAAGTGGGTACGACCGTTTTAAGTTCCCTTTAAAGCGAATGTCGTAAACATATCGATTTAAAAACGAATAGTTTTGTTTTACAATGTTTGAGGAATCCGTTGAAACAATAATCTCGTGGAAAGTTATTGCACATCTGGCGATGCGCTTCGAAAGAATTGCTACGATAACAATAAATAACTTGTTGCGCGAGTGTGGCTATCGTTTCGGCAAGAATAAAAACAAACACCTCGAATTTCTAGTACGAACTTTGACTGGAGATTCGTTAGAATTCTTCAATTTTCAGAAAATTAATTTCAAAAGCTATGAAGCAAACTATAGCATCTAGAAAATTAATTTAACGGTAAAAATATCTGAAAAATTTGGAAAATGTCTTCGTACACATGTAAATGTTGTTCAGGTCGGAATGATAGCGTTATATATATATACACTGTGCCGCGGTGTGAAGTTCGATATCGTTCTAATCAATTCGTGGTAATCGTGTCCGCACTTCAAAAAGAACGGTTATGGGAAAACCGGCTTCACGGAGCATGTGTTATATCTAACACACTCCAGTGGCCTTAACATTTGGAATTTCCCGAAAATCTTACGTCAGGACATCGTTGTTAACGGCGTGCCAAATATTTTTTAAACTATTACAACCGAAGGGGAAATACTTGTAATGCTGCTCTATATTTTTAATAAACGCGGCCGCGTCTCGCAGTAAGCAGAATTCTTCGATATTAATCTTCTACGAAATTGGAATTTAATTCGGGACTGTTCCCGCCACTCCGTCACTGTAAAAACAGACTGTCGCGCTGTCTGGCAGGTCACGTGGCATGGAACGGCAGCGAATTTGGCTGGCCCCGGTCTAGTCGGTTGACTTTATCGTCTGTCGCGTCCGTGACGTCACGCGACGGTTTTCTTCGTCTTAGAAAACAACGTCGTCCGTTTTTCGACGGATAGACGACGACGACGACGACGACAACGTCGTCGACGCACCTAAAAACCCGCTTTCGCCCCTCTAGCTGGTCTCTAAAAATAGCGTGGGTGGGCGGCCGATGCCGTTTGCCAAACAACTAGTACAGGGTGCAGCTGTCGACAAAATAATGCGTCTATCCTTGACGACAGAGCGAGCATTCCTACACACAGTGCACGACAGGAGACACGGTTCGTCGGGAAATGTTTTCCTTTCGAATTTATGTCCTCGATGGGGATTCGCTTTTTTCTGACCCATCGTACCCTTCCCTGTCGTACCTCTGCCTTCTCCTTCCGTCCACCATATAGCCGCGAGTCTTTATGCTAGGACAGCCCTGGCCTCTGACGATCGCTTTCGCAACCTGCCACCTGGATACACGACGTTTCCCGCTTTTTCGAGACACGGACTCTCTCTGTTCCTTCTACTATTTCTATCCTTGACTAGCTTATAGTCACACCGTTCCTCTTCCGGGGCACTCGCTCTACAGTTTCTGTTGTCCTTGCTTGCACGCTCTCGCTACCGTTTATTTATATTCCTGCCACTTGAGACAATCTGACGCTCGTAGCGTTCGCGAACTTATCGGTTTTCGAAACTGTTCTTCACAATTTTTCAGTATAGTCTACCTGCTAGACTCGCGCCACGGTCGAAACAACCGGTTTCTTAATTTTCAATTTTATAAACTGTGTAGAGACTATATCCCGTGGGTAATACTCGAACAAATTACAATCGTTGGAGCAAGTTTTCTAATAAAAACTTGACAAAATCGAAATGAATCTTCTCGCTTTTACGAAGCAATGTACACCAATCACCGCGATTGCAAGATATGTATATATGTTGAGAGTTGAAATTCGGTTACTTTGTATATGCGCTCGACAGTATATGTACTCTGGTGAAAGCAACTTTCTGGCGTGTGTCTCTTTAACGGGGTTTCCTTGAAAGATTTTGAAAACAGAGAGTACAATGAAATTGGCCTGGAAGCCAAAATTTACGCGATCACGAGGGTCGACGAGCGCAGCAGACGTTTCTGCGAGCGTCTGGTGCGTCTAAATAGGGAAGGATAGTCGAAAGAAAGGACGTTATACTGCCTCGGTGCAAGCTTTTTAAAGCTGGAGGAAGGTACTTTGAACCGAACTGGTTGGTCGGTATAGCTCGCTGCGGATAAATCATTGTGACGCGTTTAAGGATTAAATTATCGTTTTCATTTGATCATAGGCGAGAAAGTGTTTCGATCACGGATACACAGATCAATGAAATATCAATTCCCAAATATTGAAAACGTGCGTTTACTCCAGAATATACGCAATGAAAATACACGATAAAGGGGTAACGCTAATTCACTATTAAAATGAAATTCATTATCCGTCCGTTCTGACGTTTTATATTCGCGTGTCTAATAAATCCATAAAAGTCACTGTCTATTTATGTGTTGACTGGGAACTTCCACATAAATGTGTAGATCATGTTACTTCCGCTATAGTTGAGTCACTTGCAGAGCCAGTCGCGTGACCCGATGCCTTTCGAACGAATAGTTCTAGTCTACAATACCATGCTACCAACCACCGCTACACTTCTACATTAACAAAGAATGCGAAACATTTTCATTCTCTCGGCAAACAGAAAATTCATCGAAATACAATTCCGTTTCGTCGAATTCGCTGTACAAAAATTACTGAAAGAAACGTGGAACAACGTGGCACACCGGTGCCGCGTGATTGTACCGGGTGGTTAATCAGTTCCGCAAACCAACGTTACGAGTCATTACATTGTTAAACGAAATTGTTTCGACCTTAGACCGACACTTGAACGGTATATTTTTTTTTTCCGTCGAAATGGATCACTTATGGCGTTTCGGTGACGCAGTCCGCGTTGCGCAGAATTGTAACCGTTAAAATCAAATTGCCCGATGCGGTCTACGTATGTACGTATTACTATTTGCTCGCCGATCGAGTATGGTCGCGTGAATGCGACGACCGCGTTGTGCTGCATGGCGCGCGCTAATCCGTATTGTTCTTTTTTTTTTATCTCGACCGGCCACGACTTTGATAAAACTCGCGAACAATTAACCTTCCGAGCCGTATTGTATTTCGCGGTAAAGCGCAAAAACGTCTTCCTGTTCGCCGGCAGATTTTCTCTGGATTTTTTTCTTTTTTAATGAATAACGTGGCTTTTTTTAACGAGTACCTTGCAGAGATTATATTTATGACACGTTGAAAGACGTCGTTAACGTCGTTTCTGCAGTTTGCTCGTTTGGCATTAATTCGCGGTTGATTTTGCGGTTTGCAAAACGATTACCGACAGTTTCACTTATAGGTACACATTGGTACCTATTATTACTTGTACAAGATTGTACTACCTGTGTATGTAACTTGTCCGGTTAAGATAGAAAATTTGCTCATGACAATTAATCGAATAAAGATTGAAATGCAAATGTAATTAATTCGCGGTTTTCTATTGTGTTCTAGGATACACTTGTGCACGCATTACCGTCGGACAGGCCTGGATTCGCGAAGGGTATCCGCAAGAATATCGGGGGGCGCTGGCGTCGCCTGGTTAAGCGGAAACCGGAAACGGAGACTTGTGCCATTCCTCCTGAGCTGAAAGATCAGCTGAAGACGATCTACGTCTATTGACGGATCATCAAACCGTTGTCGATTCCGTCAGACGAGACTTCCACTCAGTCAGTAATCAATGTTTTCCTGTACGTAAGATAACTATACCAAGAAGAAGGGCGAAGATGTACAATAAAATGAGGATCGGAGCGCACGACGATACGAAGCAGAACTCGACACACGAGCGACGTTACGGGAGCCCAGACATCGTGAAGAGAAAAATAGGAAAGAACGTGCGGAGCTTTAACGCGAAAAAAAAATAACATATCACGAAGTGCCTAAAAACTGATAAACCATCTGACGCGTTGCATATTTTTGCATAGATAATTGTATATTCGTAGGCATAGTCTGCGGTTAATTGACAGTTGTCACCGAGTCGATCAAAAAGACAAAAAGAAAAAAACGACACAATGATTCTGGTCAATTGTCGACTGTTTTCGTCGGATTGTAGCAGTTCGAATTTAATCGTCGCTCGATGCCCCGAATGCAAACCGATGTAAGAAGTTTTTTTATGCGAGAGAGGATGCAGGGACGTTTTTAGAGTTTCTGTATCTGCGCGTGCGCACTCGATGAGAGAGAGAGAGAGAGAGAGAGAGAGAGAGAGAGAGAGAGAGAGAGAGAGAGAGAGAGTTTCGTTTAGAGAATCAGGACGACGGCGTCGAGAACCCCATGAGACTGAAATGTAAAATGTACGACAAGACAAGTTACCCTCGTTGCTTTTGTGTACGTTTTTACATGATTAATATGAGAAGAAGAAAGTCGCTTTTCAATCGTTAGTATTAATGTATACCTGAGACAATGAACGACCGTCGGAGCTGCCCTAAGCTGCTGTGTCCTGTATGCCCGTTATGGCAGCTCTGCGCTGTGCCCGTAGCCGTGCGCGCTCCCCCCCATGGTTGTTCGTTGTTAGACAAATGACCGATGGAAATTAGGCGTATGAGCATTATTTGAATAATACATTTCGAAAACGTAATTTCGATTGTTTTATTTGGCTGGCTGTGTGCTATTTTGAAATAATTTAAAAAGGATTTTCCTAGAAAATTATCTCATTGCTTCGCTCTCGAATGAAACGTTCTTCTATATTATATTTGAATGAATCCTTTATTTTATTTAATGTGCTCAAGCATGCGGGACACCAATCTAACGGCACAATGGTGTATTTGGATCCAGAAAACGGCGAAAAATGTTCTTTGACTGAAATGACCTACTTGAATCATCGCGTATCAAACTGTTGCTCATATCGAATTGCTTTAGACAAAGGAGAAATCTTTTTATATATCTGATAAAAAGACACAATATGAAATTGTAAATAATAATTACATTTTTCTCAGTTTTCGAGATGATTCATTTTCAAGTCATACAACACCGACACGAATGAATAAAATCGACAAGAAATCGTAGTAGATTATATCTCTAATTTTCGATTAACAACCTCTGAAAAATGTTTTCGTCGATGTGCTATATTTGTATGGACTCAAATGTGCCCTACCATGTGCAACGGCAGATCCTCAAAGCTCGTATGTGAGTGTTACCTTACGAGGGATCCTCCGAACAGTTCATTTTAAATAGTTTTGTAAAAAATGATCCGCCACTGTTACTATATTAAGTAGGGGAAAGTGCGACGGCAACGATGCAGCATTTTGTAGATATTGTAACATAGACCGATCTAAGATTTGTTAATAATATTCGACGGCTCATATTGANGAGAGAGAGAGAGAGAGAGAGAGAGAGAGAGAGAGAGAGAGAGAGAGAGAGAGAGAGAGTTTCGTTTAGAGAATCAGGACGACGGCGTCGAGAACCCCATGAGACTGAAATGTAAAATGTACGACAAGACAAGTTACCCTCGTTGCTTTTGTGTACGTTTTTACATGATTAATATGAGAAGAAGAAAGTCGCTTTTCAATCGTTAGTATTAATGTATACCTGAGACAATGAACGACCGTCGGAGCTGCCCTAAGCTGCTGTGTCCTGTATGCCCGTTATGGCAGCTCTGCGCTGTGCCCGTAGCCGTGCGCGCTCCCCCCCATGGTTGTTCGTTGTTAGACAAATGACCGATGGAAATTAGGCGTATGAGCATTATTTGAATAATACATTTCGAAAACGTAATTTCGATTGTTTTATTTGGCTGGCTGTGTGCTATTTTGAAATAATTTAAAAAGGATTTTCCTAGAAAATTATCTCATTGCTTCGCTCTCGAATGAAACGTTCTTCTATATTATATTTGAATGAATCCTTTATTTTATTTAATGTGCTCAAGCATGCGGGACACCAATCTAACGGCACAATGGTGTATTTGGATCCAGAAAACGGCGAAAAATGTTCTTTGACTGAAATGACCTACTTGAATCATCGCGTATCAAACTGTTGCTCATATCGAATTGCTTTAGACAAAGGAGAAATCTTTTTATATATCTGATAAAAAGACACAATATGAAATTGTAAATAATAATTACATTTTTCTCAGTTTTCGAGATGATTCATTTTCAAGTCATACAACACCGACACGAATGAATAAAATCGACAAGAAATCGTAGTAGATTATATCTCTAATTTTCGATTAACAACCTCTGAAAAATGTTTTCGTCGATGTGCTATATTTGTATGGACTCAAATGTGCCCTACCATGTGCAACGGCAGATCCTCAAAGCTCGTATGTGAGTGTTACCTTACGAGGGATCCTCCGAACAGTTCATTTTAAATAGTTTTGTAAAAAATGATCCGCCACTGTTACTATATTAAGTAGGGGAAAGTGCGACGGCAACGATGCAGCATTTTGTAGATATTGTAACATAGACCGATCTAAGATTTGTTAATAATATTCGACGGCTCATATTGAGCCCGTACTACAGCGCTAATTATGGTATTTTACTTGTATTGTTGTATGAAGCAATACCGTGTGCTGGAACGCGGCCATTCGGTAGTGGCAGGGACGGACCGCGCATTTAAAATCCTCAAAATCGTATGTTTCCAACAATGAGAAGACAAATACCTCGATCAATATTTATGAAAAAATTTTGACATTTCTAAGGAAAAAAATAAACGCATCAAATAATCTATTACTTATTATTATTTAATTTCGCTAGCAGCACAATTGTAACGTCTGAGGTCCCCTTTTGCGGGGCCCATATTTTCACTTCGTTGGTAACAGAACTATACTTTGTTGTCAACAGAGGCCCGTTGCGCACAGGTCCGTCACTGGGTAGTCAAGCTATTCGTTTCTGTGTTAAGCATACCCTCGCACGCGTGGCTTTTGCGCAATGTCGATAATTTACGCGGATCGAACCGTCGAAAAGACAAACGTGTGCGCGTTACCCGACGTGATTTCGCGCGCGACATTTGAATCGTGCGTTGCAACGCTGTAGAGTGTACATATGTCGTAGCATCACTTCGTTCGGCGGAACGGATACTTTAAGGATCAATGACGTGCCTACATCCGTGTACGATAAAATGTTGTTTTTTTTAAGAATGAAACCCAGATGGAATTCCATGTCCATCAACTAGTCACACGATACTAATTGTTCGAAATGAGAGATAACGTGTATTGTATACCTTTCGGAGCAGCTTGAAGATTTCCTCGCGAATACCTGTCTGAATACAACAATATCAAATAAAGTATTCAAAAGGACCTATAGGCTTTTATTTCATGCCACTGTGTCCTACATGATTTCAGTGAAATTTCTCGGAAAGTCTACGCCATTGTGTTCTGTATTATTCCACTCGACTATCCTCGGAACTGTTGATATTTAAAAAAAAAGTTCCAGATAAAACTCGAAGGCTTTTCTAAGAGATGAATAATCGGAAGCAAGTATTTATTTACAGGATCATGTTCCAGATGTACTTTAATATAGCCGAAAAATACCACGCCATTTTGAAACTGTAGTAACGGTTTTCAGACACAAGTAGGTTTGATATCCAGACTACCATAGTTTTCGACAGTATAATGTGTCTCTCACATCACCGAACTTTTGTCCGAAATAGCTTTTGATTATCGTCAATAGATTCGAAGATATTCGAGTGGTTCGTGTCAAATTAGACACCCGGTATACAATTTCAGTGAAATTTTCGTGTATATATAGCACCTGTGTTACTTTTAAGAAGCTTGGACAATTGGACTTGAAAAGTTATACTTACAACAATTTGGAATTTAGTATTTTCTAATTGTAATGATAGTTAATAAACTTTTCGAATCGAATTGACATCTAACAGGTGAAATTGATTATTTTTAAGAGATTGAGACAAGCTACGCCATTTTTAACTAGTTCAAATTAGGATATATAATATAGTTATATTTCCTTGTCATTTTACAATTAGTGAAGAAATGTTTAATTTTCTACGTTAATAAAGTTTTACAGGAGTTGAGATTTCTATTCTGTGCATTTCTGATGTAAATACAATTAGAAAAATAGTTCGAGTAACCCAGTACGTTAAAAACAGTTTCATTACAATAATTTTGATCGCAAAATTTCGTTGAAAAAATTAATTTTCTTAAACAGATTTTTCGGCATAATATAAATTAATAATTTCAAGGGCAAATGTACCTTTGAACCTTAGTAGGATAACTGTACTCAAATATATATATATATATATCTTATATATATATAAATAATTTCTTATATATATAAGAAATTATTTTAAAATGATTTATATGAATTCAC